CCCCCCCGTAATGAATCCATCGTGTTCCCCTCCGCTGATCAACGGTTTCCGCGTAGCCCACCCCCTGCAGTCAGCTCGTGCAGGGCGTCTTGGCGAGAGCGGAGGTTTGTGGAACTTTCCTCCTCCTGTACTGTCTTTCCATATAAGTGTGATAAAGCGGTGTAGTCTTGCAGTCACGGTGTCAAAGACTCAGGGGTTGGCCTAGACATGTACAAAGAATCATCTACTCTTAAACACCGTTCCTTAATATTTCTTATACTTATACTTCTTATACTTCTTAATACTGTTAACTACTCTTACTGATTCGCTCCCTCGCAACAGCCACCGTATGCGGCACAACCTGTCTCCCCATCGCCGCATATCTCCCCCTCAACTCCTCCTCCTGCTGACTGCCCGCCTCCACGTCAGGATGCGGCCATTCAAAGGTGAAAGTAAGGTACAAATCAGCGGGATCCCCCGAGTCCCCCCCGGAAATGGTGTTGGTGATATGTTGGCCCGTGGAAACAAAGAAATCCACCGTCGTGCTCCCTATGTAGCGGATCTCCTCTTCGATCTCCTTGTCCTGTCCCTTGAAGAGCACAGAGCGCGTCAGCCCGTCCGCGTGCTCGTGTATGATCCGGGATCGCTCGATCGCTGACACAAACGGCTCCGGGTGGCGAGCCTTAGAGACCAACGTGGCCCACAGCTCGGCGTGGGTGAGAATAGGCTGTGCCCCGGGGGGATTGACGGGCGTAGTCGTCGCGGTGGTTATCAAGACCATTTTCTTTCTTTTTTAAGAAATAAATAAAAGAGATAAACGTAAAGTAGGTGGACGATACGTTGTAGTTATATGGAGAGTATTAGAAGATTATTAAGAAACAGTACTAGTTACAGTGGAGAACGACTACAGTGGAGAGAGAGTGGAGAGTGCGTCATCGACCAAGTGGTTAGACCACAGTAACTGCACAAGCAGAACTCATAATTATCTAACATGCTGAATAGAGAGCACCATGCAAGAAACCCAGCGCCACTGTTCATATCACAAATGAATGCTGAAGAATAATAACCGGATAAATAGAAGTCGACTCTGGTAATCTCCTCGCGGTGTGCCATAGATCCGTCCCCCGAAATCATAGAAGTAAAAACATGCAACTCCATCCCCGGCAGAAATAAAAGTGCAGAAATGAGAAAAATAAGAAAAATGAAGGGACAAGGATAAAATATTTTCATAACGCGTCGCGATAGTCTCGAAGATCCTCGTGGAACACACTGCACCATCCGACACCCATTAACCAAGAAAAAAAAAAAAGAAAAAGAAAAAAAAAAGAGGTCCTCTATCCATAGCAAATACCGTTACAACACGAATGGGTGGCCGAATGAGGAGAGGGAAAACAAGAGAGATCTGCTTGGGGAAGAGGGGACAGATCATCCTCGTGGCCGCCCGCTGCGCTGGAGCTGGTATCCGATCCGGAGAGCTTCCGTTCCATCATCGATGAGGGTTTCTTTGAACCACGGGTGTTTCAGTGCCTGCTTAGCAGTAATACGCATCTTCGGATCATAGACGAAGATCTTCTGCAGGAGATCAAAGAATTGTCGGTTGAAAGGCGTGTTCGTAGGGATGAAATCCTTTCGCTGCTAGTGAGTACAATGGGTCTGTAGAGATTGATTGCAAGTTCAAGACTTACGTCGAGGCGTTTCATAGCTCGCACGTATTTCCGCGAGGCTCTTGTCGTTTCGTCATTAGGGTAATCTAGTTTGTTCCGGTTGAAGTACCTAAACAAATTAGCATTCCAGTTCATCAACAGAAAGAAGGCGAGACGAGACATACTTGGCGGCTTGGTTTTGACTGCCAGCACGGCCACCCTGCATCACCTGTCGCACCAGCTTGGCATCGATCTTGTGTCCGATGACGGCTTCCATCATCGCTAGATGCTCCAGGTTGTCATGGGTCTGGAACAGAGCATCGCCCGTGAAAAACTCGACGAGGATGCAGCCAATACTCCAGATGTCGCACGGAAAACTCCATCCCAGATTAAGAATAATCTCGGGAGCACGGTAATGCCGGGTCGATACCACGGACGAATGGTATTCATCATCAAAGGTGGCCGATCCGAAGTCGATCAGGCGGATCTCACTGTCAAGAAGAACCCGCCGTTGGCGAGCATTACGGGAAGTGGCATGGGATGAGGAAGGGATGGTGCGGTTGTAGGTGAAGGTCTGATAGGCGTTGCTGACCAGGAGGATGTTTTCGGGTTTCAGGTCGGTATGGATCAGGTTGAGGTCATGAAGAACTATGGAGTCAGTACGGCACCGATTCAAACACACACACACACACACACAAGGGGAACTCACAGGCCACGCTTGTAAAAAGCTGACGAGCAAAATTTTGAATCTGCGTACTGGGGAAGGGAACAAAACCGTTGCTTTTCAAAAAATCAAAGACACTTTGCCCCAGGAGATCCGTCACAATGCAGATATGGTTGCGAAAGTCGAAGCAGTCACGCAAATGGATGCATTTGTTGCGGTTGTTCTTGTCATTTGACGCCAGGGTGGAGAGCACGCGCAGTTCGATCCGAGAGGCATCGCGGTATTTCTGGATCGACCGGATGATCTTGACCGCACAGTGAGTCCCCTTTTGCTTATCATAGGCCTCGACGACCTTTCCAAACGTTCCCTGGCCTAATAATTTGATAATCGAATCTGACCGGTCAGTAAAGAGTCGCAACTTGACTTTTTTCATGTCTTCAAGAGATGAACATACATCGATCCGTCAGAGGAGTCTCGGGAGTGACGATATAATGGCCATCATCGTCGTCGAATTTGTCATTTCTATTGATGGAAAACTATAGATAGTTAGAAAAAAAAAATGTTAGACAGAAGGAATTAAGACACGTACATCACGAATGACTGGTACTGGGACATCTTTGGCCTTGATCGGGGGTTTGGGCGGCGGGATATAGCTCATAAAGGCATCGCCGGCGGTTTCAAGCTCGCGACGTTTCTGTTCCTCGCGAGCGGATTTGCGTGTCGTCACACGCTTGCGCTTCTGACCGACATTGGCCTCCTCGTAGTAGGCGCCGTTGCTGGCACCCGCGGTGCTGCCCTGCGAGCCTAGCGAGGTGGGAGCCGTAGTGTGCAGCGAGGTGGTGCGGTCCGTGGAGAGCGAGCCGGCCGACGACTCATCTCCATACTGCTGGGGATTGATGGAGAACGCCGGGCGATCGTAGTATCCCAGATCGTAGGCCGACTCCAGGCCGGTCCGCCTCTTCTTGCCAGCCGGCTGTGGCAGTGGACCACTCGCCGCAGCCGCGGCGACCGCAGTCCTCTGCTGGCCCGGCGGCGGACTGTCATCTATCACGATCACCTCCTTGGGGAGGCCGTTTTTGTAAAATTCCCCCCAGTCGGGTTTCTTCGCCTTCCTTCCGCTCTGAGAAGGCATCGTGGCCGCTGTGGGAGTTGTGGGAGCAGCCGTCGAGGCGGCGGCCGGGGCGGCGGAGGGAGCAAAGGGCAGGGAGGTCGACGGGGGATTGACGGCGTAGGCGTACTGGTGGGAGAGAAGAGACGGCCCCGTGGTCGCCGAGGTCGACATCGTCGCTGTCGATGCCGTCGCCGTTGGGTATGCAGTGTTGGATGGGTACGATGGGTGGTGATGAGGGTATCCGTAGTGTTGTTGATGGTGCGAAGGATGCGTCACGGTGGCTGTCGACGGCGTGGACATGGTGAACAGCGCGTGTCAAGCGACAGTTCCAGGAGAAAGTTCGGTGGGAGAGAGAGAGGGGGGG